TATGTGTGTCCATCAAGTCAACACAACGACATTCTCTCTGTGTGTCCATCAAGTCAACACAACGACATTTTTCTCTCTGTGTCCATCAAGTCAACGACATTCAAGTCAACAACACAACGACATTCTCTGTGTGTCCATCAAGTCAACACAACGACATTCTCTGTGTGTCCATCAAGTCAACACAACGACATTCTCTGTGTTTCCATCAAGTCAACACAACGACATTCTCTGTGTGTCCATCAAGTCAACACAACGACATTCTCTGTGTGTCCATCAAGTCAACACAACGACATTCTCTGTGTGTCCATCAAGTCAACACAACGACATTCTCTGTGTGTCCATCAAGTCAACACAACGACATTCTCTCTGTTTCCATCAAGTCAACACAACGACATTCTCTCTGTTTCCATCAAGTCAACACAACGACATTCTCTGTGTGTCCATCAAGTCAACACAACGACATTCTCTCTGTTTCCATCAAGTCAACACAACGACATTCTCTCTCTGTTTCCATCAAGTCAACACAACGACATTCTCTGTGTGTCCATCAAGTCAACACAACGACATTCTCTGTGTGTCCATCAAGTCAACACAACGACATTCTCTCTGTGTGTCCATCAAGTCAACACAACGACATTCTCTCTGTGTTCCATCCATCAAGTCAACACAACGACATTCTCTGTGTTTCCATCAAGTCAATACACAACATTCTCTGTGTGTCCATCAAGTCAACACAACAACATTCTCTGTGTGTCCATCAAGTCAACACAACGACATTCTCTCTGTGTTTCCATCAAGTCAACACAACGACATTCTCTGTGTGTCCATCAAGTCAACACAACGACATTCTCTGTGTGTCCATCAAGTCAACACAACGACATTCTCTGTGTGTCCATCAAGTCAACACAACGACATTCTCTCTGTGTCCATCAAGTCAACACAACGACATTCTCTCTGTTGTCCATCAAGTCAACACAACGACATTCTCTCTGTTTCCATCAAGTCAACACAACGACATTCTCTGTGTCCATCAAGTCAACACAACGACATTCTCTGTGTGTCCATCAAGTCAACACAACGACATTCTCTCTGTGTGTCCATCAAGTCAACACAACGACATTCTCTCTGTGTGTCCATCAAGTTAACACAACGACATTCTTTCTGTGTGTCCATCAAGTCAACACAACATTCCCTGTGTGACCATGAAGTCATCTCAGCGACATTCTCTGTGTCCATCAAGTCAACACAACGACATTCTCGCTGTTTCCATGAAGTCAACACAACGACATTCTCTGTGTGTCCATCAAGTCAACACAACGACATTCTCTGTGTTTCCATCAAGTCAACACAACGACATTCTCTCTGTGTGTCCATCAAGTCAACACAACGACATTCTCTGTGTTTCCATCAAGTCAACACAACGACATTCTCTGTGTGTCCATCAAGTCAACACAACGACATTCTCTGTGTGTCCATCAAGTCAACACAACGACATTCTCTCTGTTGTCCATCAAGTCAACACAACGACATTCTCTGTGTTTCCATCAAGTCAACACAACGACATTCTCTGTGTGTCCATCAAGTCAACACAACGACATTCTCTGTGTGTCCATCAAGTCAACACAACGACATTCTCTGTGTGTGTCCATCAAGTCAACACAACGACATTCTCTCTGTGTCCATCAAGTCAACACAACGACATTCTCTCTGTTTCCATCAAGTCAACACAACGGCATTCTCTGTGTTTCCATCAAGTCAACACAACGACATTCTCTGTGTGTGTCCATCAAGTCAACAACACAACGACATTCTCTGTGTTTCCATCAAGTCAACACAACGACATTCTCTGTGTGTCCATCAAGTCAACACAACGACATTTCTCTGTGTGTCCATCAAGTCAACACAACGACATTCTCTGTGTGTCCATCAAGTCAACACAAACGACATCAACACAACGACATTCTCTGTGTGTCCATCAAGTCAACACAACGACATTCTCTGTGTGTCCATCAAGTCAACACAACGACATTCTCTCTGTGTGTCCATCAAGTCAACACACAACATTCTCTGTGTGACCATGAAGTCATCAACACAACGACATTCTCTGTGTGTCCATCAAGTCAACACAACGACATTCTCTCTGTGTGTCCATCAAGTCAACACAACGACATTCTCTGTGTGTCCATCAAAGTCACATCAAGTCAACACAACAACATTTCTCTGTGTCCATCAAGTCAACACAACGACATTCTCTGTGTGTCCACATGTCAACACAACGACATTCTCTCTGTGTGTCCATCAAGTCAACACAACGACATTCTCTGTGTGTCCATCAAGTCAACACAACAACATTCTCTCTGTGTCCATCAAGTAAACACAACGGCATTCTCTGTGTGTCCATCAAGTCAACACAACGACATTCTCTCTGTTTCCATCAAGTCAACACAACGACATTCTCTGTGTGTCCATCAAGTCAACACAACGACATTCTCTGTGTGTCCATCAAGTCAACACAACGACATTCTCTCTGTGTGTCCATCAAGTCAACACAACGACATTCTCTGTGTGTCCATCAAGTCAACACAACGACATTCTCTGTGTGTCCATCAAGTCAACACAACGACATTCTCTGTGTTTCCATCAAGTCAACACAACGACATTCTCTGTGTTTCCATCAAGTCAACACAACAACATTCTCTGTGTGTCCATCAAGTCAACACAACGACATTCTCTGTGTGTCCATCAAGTCAACACAACGACATTCTCTGTGTTTCCATCAAGTCAACACAACGACATTCTCTCTGTGTCCATCAAGTCAACACAACGACATTCTTTCTGTGTGTCCATCAAGTCAACACAACGACATGACCATGCTTACAACGAAGTCATCTCAACGGCATTCTCTGTGTCCATCACGTCAACACAACGACATTCTCTCTGTCCATCAAGTCAACACAACGACATTCTCTGTTTCCATCAAGTCAACACAACGAACATTCTCTGTGTTTCCATCAAGTCAACACAACGACATTCTCTGTGTGTCCATCAAGTCAACACAACGACATTCTCTCTGTGTCCATCAAGTCAACACAACGACATTCTCTCTGTTTCCATCAAGTCAACACAACAACATTCTCTGTGTTTCCATCAAGTCAACACAACGACATTCTCTGTGTGTCCATCAAGTCAACACAACGATCGCGACATTCTCTGTGTTTCCACCAAGTCAACACAACGACATTCTCTGTGTGTCCATCAGGTCAACACAACGACATTCTCTCTCTTTCCATCAAGTCAACACAACGACATTCTCTGTGTGTCCATCAAGTCAACACAACGACATTCTCTCTGTGTGTCCATCAAGTCAACACAACGGCATTCTCTCTGTGCGTCCATCAAGTTAACACAACGACATTCTTTCTGTGTGTCCATCAAGTCAACACAACATTCCCCGTGTGACCATGAAGTCATCTCAGCGACATTCTCTGTGTCCATCAAGTCAACATAACGACATTCTCTGTGTGTGTCCACATGTCAACACAACGACATTCCCTGTGTGACCATCAAGTCATCTCAGCGACATTCTCTGTGTCCATCAAGTCAACACAACGACATTCTCTGTGTGTGTCCACATGTCAACACAACGACATTCTCTCTGTGTGTCCATCAAGTCAACACAACGACATTCTCTATGTGTCCATCAAGTCAACACAACGACATTCTCTATGTGTCCATCAAGTCAATACAACGGCATTCTCTGTGTGTCCATCAAGTCAACACAACGACATTCTCTGTGTGACCATCAAGTCATCTCAGCGACATTCTCTGTGTCCATCACGTCAATATAACGACATTCTCTGTGTGTGTCCACATGTCAACACAACGACATTCTCTCTGTGTGTGTCCATCAAGTCAACACAACGACATTCTCTATGTGTCCATCAAGTCAATACAACGACATTCTCTGTGTGTCCATCAAGTCATCTCAGCGACATTCTCTGTGTGACCATCAAGTCATCTCACCGACATTCCCTGTGTGACCATCAAGTCATCTCAGCGACATTCCTGTGTGACCATCAAGTCATCTCAGCGACATTCTCTGTGTGACCATCAAGTCATCTCAGCGACATTCCCTGTGTGACCATCAAGTCATCTCAGCGACATTCCCTGTGTGACCATCAAGTCATCTCAGCGACATTCCCTGTGTGACCATCAAGTCATCTCAGCGACATTCTCTAAGTCCATCAGGTCAATACAACGATATTCTCTGTGAGCATGACAGCCATGTCGTGGAGGCCAAGACGAACATGGCGCGAGCTAACCTGGCGAGCTACTATCCGCCGTGAACGGTGTCTTCAAGATCACTAGACACTCGTCATAATCTTAAATGTCTCTATATATGTATATTTAGAAATCAGATAAAGTTGATGTTGGTGAAAGTTTCACATAATGCCAACATGCATCACGCTGTTGTATCTAGTGACTCAGTGGCCCAATATACAATACTGGCGTTTCCCAAACTACCCAGAAGATTTACCCGATTCACCTCACTGCACAACGACTAACAAACCCCACCCCTCAACGCAAGTTCATAAATATAGCGACAGAAATAAATGCCTTGAACTTTTAAAAGTCCCAGAAAAACTTCAGAAACACAATAAGCATGCATATATTACATACGAGTTATCGCATGGAAATCTGAGACGGCATAAATTTGACATGGTTTACCATTTGCATTGCATGTGTACAAATCTGATATACCATTGTGGCTTCCAAACCCAATAAGAGGCCTAGGTCATTCTATTCGACAGAGAGGGGTGACAAGTAGGAAAGCAGGACCTAACTCCTAACACAATGGACAGTGTCGTGACTTCCAAGTGATTGCTTTGATTAACGTTGCGCGCACCTGAGCGGGCATTTCAAGTGTCTTCAGCCACCATCACGTTCACGGGGGCATTTCAGATAACCCAGTAACCTGTCACCCCCGTGACGAATGGGACCTGCTTCAAGTTGTTTGACAGGCTTCGAAAGATCATCAACACAGGCCAAGCGGTAGTGGTCGTACATGGGTTTAGAAGTCTTTCCTTTTTCTTCTTGTCTGGTTCCAAAGAAACAAGGATATGGGGAAAGAGGAAGAGTCCAACAATCAGGCTGCTGTAGCCCCCGTTGTTGAACTGGAGGAAGAAGAAGGGGTTAACAAGAGAGAAACATGGGGAAGAGCTTTTGACTTTCTCTTGGCTTGTATTGGATTTTCAGTCGGTCTTGGAAATGTATGGAGATTTCCATACCTGTGTTATAAAAACGGAGGAGGTACGTAACGTCTATATCCTTTATATTAATTAACCAATGCATTTTCGTATTAATGTATATGCAAACGGGTGTGACACGCATATATATATACCTACATTCTAAACGCAAACGTTATGTTATTATATATGAGTATAGATTGAATGTTTTGTAAAAGTACGGTTAACCTTTGGCTCTTATCGGCTAGCGACTGAAGCCTGGAACAAAATGATGTTTTCAAGAAGTGTGATGTGTTAGCGTAGAGCTTTACTAGACAGCGACAACACACGGCTTTCACGACGTCTCATACAACGCGCTGGGCAGCACACCTATTACTGTTTGCCGACCTGAGCCCCTTTGCCGTCACGCTCTAACGACCCCAACAATGACAATCCAAATTTATTACCCCTGTTATTGTTGAATATTACAAGACGCACCATATACTTTTGCACAACGTGTGTAGTTTGCTTTAACTGTGTTTCTGTTGACCTGTAGAGTACGTTTGCAGTGATCCTTGTTATTAATACAAGTCTGAAATCTGATCTTAATGTACATTTGGAGGATTGTATGGAATCGCATATCACCACTGCATCTACTTTCGGTGGTTGTAAGAAGCTCGTGTAACACAATGTGTTGGAACAGTATCGCGTTGTTAAAGTCCATGATTACTTTTAACCAAAACCAAAGATTTATGTTTTATGTTTGTGACCATATTTCACTTGTTGTAGAACTTTGTTGCCTTGTTTGAAATGAAAGTTACATCATTTGCAACTATATAACACCCACACACTTGCTACGACTGCAAACAAGACTACCACATGAAGAGAAGTATCTTGAAACTGCAAAACATCAGACACACTTTCACGTCACGATTCAACAATGTAATGGCCTCAATAATAGCGCCTAGTATCCATCTGACTAGCTGCTCACTTGACGCTGTAATCAGAATCTGATTATTATTACTCCGGATAACCCAAGCTGCCTGTGAGGCGCTAGAAGGTTATAGTCATATGCCTTTTCCCACCGGGTACCCACTTTCTGCTGGGTGAACAGAGGTAATTTTGAACAAACTCATTTGCCTAAGGTAATGGCAATTATAGGGGTACTTTATAACAGCCACCACGGTTAGTGACATGATTGAAAAATGCTGACTCACTCTACAGTTTTGAATACATACATACATACATACATACACACACACACAGAGATACATACATACATACATACACACATACACATACATACATACATACATACATACACACACATACATACATACATACATACATACATACATACATACATACATACATACATACATACATACATACATACATACATACATACATACATACATACACAAACACACATACATACATACATACACAGAGATACATACATACATACACAGAGATACATACATACATACATACATACATACATACATACATACATACATACATACATACATACATACATACATACATACATACATACATACATACATACATACATCCTGTGTTCGTCTTAAATATAATCCATATGAATATGCTTCATGATTCGACGTCATTAAGGCATTGTATTGTCATTAAAGTATTGTCTTATGACACAAACCAAGACCTCGAGTGTAATGTCAGCTGTGTAATGTCACTAATTCATCAGCACGTATCTACATGGTTAAGTCATACATCCCCAAGGTCAAAGTGGCGGTTAATGTATTCCCTCTCCCCCAACAATCCCCATGAATAGACATTCTAGACGAAACACAATACTTATTTGAACAGAGAAGCAAATATTTGACAACGGCAGTTTCAATACAGTGTGCATCGCCCAATACTGGTAGAGGTAAAGAGTAATATGGTCTATAATATGCACCAAGTTACAACACTGGGTTATTTTGTGTCGTGTCGATTTGGAACTTTTGCGATACACAAAATTTAAAATTTTCTTACTCGAATGGGTCATTTATTAAGAACGAACCGCAACCCAACTGTCATGGCGTTTCACGTAGTAAAGATCTGTGACTTACCTGCCTTGGTCAATGCTCTTTGTGACATTCAGGTATACGAGAATGACCTTTGTCTTGGGATATACAGTGTTAAGACTGACATGATTGACATGATGTTGGTGGTGATGTTGTACGACATGGCTGACATGCTGTTGGTGGTGATGTTGTACGACATGATTGACATGATGTTGGTGGTGATGTTCTACGACATGATTGACATGATGTTGGTGGTGATGTTGTACGACATGATTGACATGCTGTTGATGGTGATGTTGTACGACATGATTGACATGCTGTTGGTGGTGATGTTGTACGACATGATTGACATGATGTTGGTGGTGATGTTGTACGACATGATTGACATGCTGTTGGTGGTGATGTTGTACGACATGATTGACATGCTGTTGGTGGTGATGTTGTACGACATGATTGACATGCTGTTGATGGTGATGTTGTACGACATGATTGACATGCTGTTGGTGGTGATGTTGTACGACATGATTGACATGATGTTGGTGGTGATGTTGTACGACATGGCTGACCTGGTGGTGGTGCACGACGTGATTGACGTGACGGTGGTGATGATGTACATGATTGACATGGTTGTGGGAGTGATGTTGCAAGACATGAGTGACATGTTATTGGTGGTGATGGAGATGTTGTACACGAGAATTGACATGGTGATGCTGTACGACATGGCTGACGTAGCGATGCTGTACAACATGACTGACTTAGTGTGATGGTGATGCTGTATATGATTGACGTCATGGTGGTAGTGCTGTCGTGCCATATGATTGACGTGATGGTGGTAGTGTTGTGCAATATGACTGACGTCATGGTGGTAGTGTTGCCGTGCAATATGACTGACGTGATGGTGGTAGTGTTGTGTGCAATATGACTGACGTCATGGTGGTAGTGTTGTCGTGCAATATGACTGACGTGATGGTGGTAGTGTTGTCGTGCAATATGATTGACGTGATGGTGGTAGTGTTGTCGTGCAATATGACTGACGTCATGGTGGTAGTGTTGTCGTGCAATATGACTGACGTGATGGTGGTAGTGTTGTCGTGCCATATGACTGACGTGATGGTGGTAGTGTTGTCGTGCAATATGACTGACGTGATGGTGGTAGTGTTGTCGTGCAATATGACTTGATTGTAGTGACTTTGTCCGACATGGAAGGAGTTGTATAATCATGACTTTGGAAGTTTTCATTTCGGTTTACCTGCCGGCCAGTGTTTAATATATATTATGGACATGCGTGGAAGCATATGGCCATACAGGTTGAATGAATATAATGTCTGCGTAAAGTTTGTTTATGCCTTATACTGAGGAGACAGAAGGTACGGTGATACGTTAGTGTTAGCAAGTGTTTATATGTATCCTGTTTTTGCCGGGGTGGAAGGGGCTCACAATTCCATCATCGTCTTACAGTGATGGTGATGGTAAAGAGAGACCAGGATGTCGAGTAGATACGTTAGCCTTCCAGCGAAGACAATAGATGACGTAATGGATTAGAACATTCTTCTGTTGAGTGATGGCTGAATAGACAGGTAGATGGGTATAGCTTATATAATTAATTCACAAACAGGTATATAGGTATGACAAATAATGAACAGACAGGTAAGTTGTTGATGGAATTTAATAGGTAGATAGATACGGATGGCTGAAGACATGTATTCATTGATCGACTGATAGGTTTAGTCCGTTGAATCAAACACAGTCTGAATGGAAGGTGAGTGAGAAGCATGACTGACTTTCTAGTAAGCATGGTTGATTTATAAAGAGTAGGCGGAGCGAAGGTAGGCAGAAAACGTAGGCATATTTGGGTCTACATTATTTATCCCAAACAGAAAAGGGACTTAAAATACATTAATAAAAAGCGTCAACATATGTCTCCATATTTTTAATATGCGGCGATGTCAGGGAACATCTGTTGAGAGGCATGTGGATACAAACAGGTCCTATTGGGCACACACTGCGCTGTATATAGCCTGTACTGGCCTAGATCCCCATTAATAGGAAAATTCCACATGATGTTTTGTGTAGACATCAGGTGCAGTTCAGACCCCCGCAAGCGATGACCCAGTTTCAACTGCAAGCCCGTCACAGTTACTAATGCAGGCAATACCAGTACTTAACGCAAGTCGAAAAAGATTCCGCCGGAGATAGAGTCTGTCGCAAAGCTGGGACAGGTATTCCCCGTACTTTTGAAACACTTCCTCTTGCGAAACATGATGACGTAGGATATTTTTTCTGTTAAGTAGTGGGAAATTCCATTGCAGTGATACACAAGGATGTGGTCTGACGGGCTGTGGTGATTATTGGGAATAGGAAATTTACTATACTTTATGGATAACAACTTCTTTATTATATTACGATGCGACGTTTCGGTATAGATTCTTATACAGTTGTCAAGTAAGAGTCTACATCATAATATATACATTATACCGAAACGTCGCATCATAATATAATATACAAGTTGTATCATACCTTTTTTATTATTCATAAACTTCAAAAATGTCAATCAAACAGATGATTATTGCCGGGATGTTTTTCGCATCCTGGTGCTGGTTGAAATGAAACATGTTTGGTGTAACAGTGGAGCACTATATCCAGTGGACTACTTACGCATATCTGACGATCTACACATGTCAGTTACATTCTTCAATAACTATGTCTGTATTGAACAGTTCGATGTAAATGCAATAAGTGTTCATTAAAGGGTTTTACGTTTTCATTTTCAAAATTTGGCAATTGGTACGGATGTTTTATCGTATATACTTCTTTAGATAAAGATGGTTATTTGACAAGCGTTAGATCAACACACACGCAAACGCAACACATGCACATGCACACACACACGCACACACACGCAAACGCACCACATACACATGGGCACACACGCAAACTCACCACATGCACATGCACACACACGGAGGCGCATACACACACACGTATACACGCTTGTAGCCATGTGTTAGGCCAGTCTCTATCATTGATAGTCTGTCATACA